GTGGTTGAGGACTTCAAATCTTGCAATTACAAGTCTTCTTAAATGTCCACCCCTTCTAGTTGCATACACTACAACCGTACAGTGGACCAACATTTTCAAATCCTACTAGTTGTATAYGCAACAAAATAAATTGGCATGTTGAAATGTCTACATATCATAATAGATTGCTTGCAAGATTTAAGTTTTGTAAGATCAAACGATTGTACGTCATATGTAAATTTGTTACAGTAAGTAAATATGACCTTTTTGGTCATCCTATATGAATACAATTATATAAGATACTTGATTTCATAAGTACTTTTTTAAAATAATATCATATAATAAAGTGCAATGAAATATTTTATTTCAAATGGACCTTAAAACTTGTTAGAATACTAATAAAAAAAGGTCATCTTCCACGTGATTCTTATTCTTGATCATCATATAGTATTATCAAATCACAATTATATATCTATACTATATTCTAAAACATTTGACAAAAACTCTTAAAAACCATATTTTTATGTATGAAGTATTGTATATTGATGCATATTACTTAAAATTTAAGATTACAAGTAAATTATACATAAGTACAACTTATTAAAGCTCTATGTTTGAATTCGTGTAACTAACTGCAGATAAACATTATCAAAAAGAGAATAAACATCTCATTTTAAAATATAAAAAATCTAAAATATAATTAGAATAATTATCGAGTTCTAACAAAATAATTAATTATTTATAAGAAAATTATATTATTAAACTAACTATAAATTACTTCGTTATTGAACCTAAATTAAATTATAATAAAAAATTGAATTAATAAATTACATGTGGACGACGATTGCGACAATGCGGGACATACACAAAAGAGAGGTTAGCAAAGAGATTATGGCTGCTTACTTTTGGATTATTTGGAATCAAAGGAACCAAAAATCATTCAACGGAAAGAGAAAATCTGATAAGGTGTATGCAGTGAGATCCAATTCACCGCTTATGATTGGATTAGATGTAGAGCCAAACTTAACAAGTCGTTTAGTTGGGAGAGGTGGATAAATAATCCGATTGAGGCTGTGTACTCTGTTAACCACTAGCACCTCGCTAGTTTTTTTCATTCGTCCTTAATAAATTCATTTCTTGCGGTTCAAAAAAAATTACACAAAAAATATGAATTTTAAATAGTTAATTTGATACTAATATCGATATATTTTTGTCAAAATTTTATGATATCTTCAAGTTTATATTTTATTCAAAAATAAAAACATTATCGTTTTTTTCAAAATCACATAAGATCATACTATAACATCAACTGAGATAAAGAATAAAATAAAATATTAAAATCAAGATGTATCTCGGTGCATTGCGCGAGTACCCTTCTAGTATATATAAACATATCAATATCATGAATAAAATATTTTGTAATAATCATAAGTTTATATCATATAAAATTGCATAATGTACTCATCTGGAATAGTTAACGTTTGTTAAAACATTTTCTCAAAAATCGCAATTAACATGATAATTTCATACCATTCATAAACATATGACATAATCATAACAAAATTTATCATTATTCTCTAATAATCTTAGCCCGACTTAATCTTAACGAGGCCGACACTGCGGGTATGCAATTGGTGTTGCCCCACGGGGTCTTCAATTGTAGAGGGTCTACGATCATTTTATTAATACTTTTATATAATTAGAATATATAAAAAAAAACACTTTAATTTTATAAATTGTGTTGTAGTTGGGTTGATAAATGGGTTTAATTGTTATATCTATTGTCTTATCCACTCGAGTTTCATTCTCGTTGATGCGTTATTATATTTTTGTAGTTCTCGTTTAATTAGTTAGTGTTTTTGTATGGCCTTATTTGATTCTATATTAGTATTAATATGTAATCAATAAATATTCAAACTCCAATAATGTAAATTTATCTCTCCAAAAGGAGACAAGTAGGAATAGTTGAGAGGGAGCATGAGTGGATTGAATTGAATCATATTGTAATTAATGGAGTAGAAGTATGCRTGGAATTGACCATTGATTTTATGGCATCTTTGAATCATCATAACTTTTTAGTCGTGTTAATGGTTCTAAATAGTTGTTATGATATCGTTATGATGTATTATATCACTGAGGATTGGGTTCGATGCACGTTAATTCTTGTGTCTCCACTCTAATTAAGACTTAGCACTAGTTGTAATGTGTTATAACACGTTACGATGTGTTTTTTTTTTGTAAGACATGAACTTTTTCTCCTTCTTAAATATATATAATTTGGGAATAAATGATGATTACATAACGAGCTTAAGACTTAAATAAATATAAAAGAGAAACTTAAACACTCAAATCCTAAATAATACGATTTTATATGGTTTTGAGAAAAAAAATGTTTTTATGTTTAAATGAAATATAAATTAGAAGAAAATATATCGATATTAATATCAAATTAACTATTTAAAAATTATTGTTTTTGTATAATTTCTTTAATTTAATTTTTTATAATAATTTAATTGAAGTTTAATAAAGAACTAATTTATTTTTGGTTTAAAAAATTAATTTTTTAAGATAATAATTAAATATAATGTTAGAATTTAATGGTTATCTTAATTATATTTTAGATTTTTTATATTTAAAATGATGTTTATCATGTATTTGATTATGTTTATCTACAATTAGTTACACAAATTCAAACATGTAGTTTTAATATGATGTACTCATGTACATTCAATTTGTAATCTTAAAATTTTAAGTAATATGCATCAATATATTACAAGACTTTATGCATCAAATATTATTTTTAAAAGTTTTTATCAAATACTTTATAATATAATATAGATATATAATGTTTTGGATATCTTGTGGGAAAATAATAATCGTTGCTTAGCTAAATAAAAAATAGCATTGACCAAGAATTTTCGTGAAGTGTTGGGACCAAATTAGAATGAAAAGACGAATATTGAATGATTGCATTGACCAAGAATTTTCGTGTTTATTTTGTGACATTAATAATGTTGTTGATAATGATATCTTTTAATAGTTATGTTATAACAACATCTTTAACGCAAAGTTCTTATTAGTAAAAAGTTTAATGACCTGTAAGAACATATTTTTTACACTTTTTATCGTCAACTTATCTCCAACTCATCAAATCAAGAACTTTCTTAAGAGTCGGCAATGCTAGTTCTTATAAGAATCTTCATTTTGTGGGTCTCGTTCATTATTTCAACATCAATAATTATTATATTTATAAAGTCAAGAAAATGAAATAAAAAATAAGAAAAATGTAATTTCTCACAAACTTCATGGTAAGAATCAATGTTCTTATTCAAACACACCTAGAGGACATGAGGTTCTTATAAGAACCTCTCCTCAATGGTTGTTCTTAGAAACCACTATGTTTTTGCTAATAAGAACCTTCCATTGGAGATTCTCTAAGACCTACCATTGTGGAGAGGGTTTTAGAAGAACCTCATGTTCTCTAGGCGTTTGAATAAGATCCTTGTTTCTTAACATGAAGTTTGTAAGAAGTGACATTTTTCTTATTTTTTATTTTATTTTTTGACTTTATAATTATTAATGTAATAATATTGATGTTGAAATAATCAATGTAACTCACAAAAAGAAGGTTCTTATATATAAGAACTATTATTATAAACTTTTAGAAGCATTTATGATGGTAAGGTTTTTTGCCGCCTCATCAATATCGATAACCGATCCTTTGATTTATTAACATTAAGGGGGTGTTTAGGATTGCTTATAAAAACAACTTATTGACTTATTTCGATATGACATCGGTAATAAACACTTTTGAGTGTTTGAATAAACAGTTACCAAACCAGTAATAAAGAGTTGTTAAAAAAGTTAAATTATTCTAATTTATAGTAAGTTGATAATAACTTTTATAAAAAAAATATAAATTATTTCAAATAATCAATTCCAAACACCCCTAAAAAATCGAAGGTTTTTTGGCCACCTCATTGGAGCGGTTTTTATAGAGGAACCGTTCCTTAAGGTTAAAGTGAGGGCCCTATCCATTTTTTTATAATAAAACCCATTGAGAATTTGAGATATATATTTATTCATTTATTTTTAATATATAATTAATTAAAAAATAATTTAATAAAATAAATAAACTAATTAATCATCAATTTTTACCTATACAAATTGACATTATAATTAATAAAGTTGATTTTTAGTTATTATAACTGTAAGATTTTTAAACAATTATAATTAAAGTTGTTTTTTTAAAAAAAATTGTTACTTTATATAAATTAATTTGTACTATGATATTGTTCACCATATATATAATATATAACTATTATAATTTTTATTATTATAGTCTTTTATTATACAAACCATTAATTGGTTTATGATCGAATGTGAAAGGTTTATGAAATATGCAAGAAGAAAAAACTGATATGCAAGAGAGAAAAAGCTGATGTGACAAAGTCATAACATCCTAAAAGGTTCATGACTGTATACAATAAAAAGTGCAAAAATAAGGTTCTTATAAAAACCTTCGTTAGAGATGCTCTAAATTCTTTAAGATAGTTTGAAAAATTAAATAACACCAACTATTCTATTTTAGAAATCTAGCATTAATTACATTGATAAAATATTCAATGTATTTAAATAATATATTATTTATATCTCTTAAACATTTACTTTTAACTTACTATATTAGCTTGATATGGATTGTTGAAATTGAATTGTTCAAGAAGTTGAAGTTTTTGAAACTTAGGGGTAACGAAATCAACGAAAGCTTTATAACATCGTTAAGTGCTCTTCCACTGCTTAAAAACCCTTGATCTTAGTTACAATTTCTTAAGTGGATCATTTCCGGCTCAAGGTACGTTATCCGACCTCTCTTATTATATGTTTTTTTCCTTTCCAAAATGAACATATTTTTAATAGACTTCATCTTCTTATTTTGAGCTCGAGCTTAATAATTCTGGAGCTCGAATCGATCTCGAACACAAAATAGAACTCGTCTAACTTAATGAGCCGAACTTCACAACACCAATGTTCGATTTGGATCGTTCGGAAACACGATTATATACATTGAATCGTGATCCGTTGGTAATCACCAAAGGAAATTTATCTAAGTGAGTTTTGTAAATTATACTTTTCTTGTGAACTATGGGGAATGTGAAGAAGCGGATGATGGTGGATTTTCTATGTGGCTCCCTGGCTTGATTTGAGGTCATGGTGTTGAAGATTCAAAGTTTTTTGTTTTATAACCGACGACGTAAGAAATAAAAACCCTCTGAAAATCAACCAAACTCTCATCTCAATTGGTGTCAAATCGGGGGAGACAGTCGGCGGGTTCGATTCGAGTTTTCAGCAACCATCGATTGTAAGAACAATGCTATCCTTTAAATTAATCATATGGTCTCTATTGTTGTTGGATTCTACATCGATTGGTCCAAGAATCATCGTGTATAGTGGCTTGAGGTCCATGATTTCGGCCACCACCACCACGGTTACAGTGGTGAACCATTTTCTGGAAAGATGAAAGCCCTAAATGAGGCCTTTAATCCAAATTTACAACAAAATCACTACCAAATTTGAAAAGAAAACTACTTGGAGGTCAAATAATGGTAGATATATGCTTTTGACTTATGGGTTGTTGAATTTAGAAAAATTATTGTCTGCAATCTAGTAGTAATCAAAGAAAATAATGTTTTCAAAATCTCTGGACGGSCCACCTTTTCATGGTTCCATAGTAAACTGAAAAAATTACGTTTTTGAGGGGTGMTGCCGTATTATTTTGCTAGAGGCCGCCGTATAGATTTTGAAATTAACACTTGACTTTAATGGCGGACATCTCATCAAATCGGTTGAGTGGTAAAGTTCCATTGCAACTGATTGGGTTGAATTATCTGGCTGTTTACATCGTTGCTAACAACAATGTGTCGCGTATAGACTCCCAGAAATGAAAGGACAATTTGGGACCTTTATGGCCAACAGCTACGAAGAAAACCCGTATCTTTGTGGACTACAACTACATGTAATTAAAGGGTTTTTGTGTGAGGATTCACACAAGGTTAGTTGATTGATGATCTGAGATGGATGAGTTCCTTGTATTAGCATTAGAAAAAAAAAACATACCACATCTTGTCGGGCTTCCATATTGAGACTTGGGATCATCATGTGAGACCGCTTGTTTTCATGAGATCTGTGAGACCATCTTTTTACACTTGAAACTTCACAACAAAACAGTGTGAAGGTAATCTTCAGATTGTTTTTGCTGTGAAAGTTCGGAAATCTTTTACCTTCACAACCTTTTGTTGTGAAGTTTGAAGTGCAAAATTTTGGTCTCACGTGAACTCAACCCTCCATATTCRTATGYAAATGGTAATCAATAAATCTTTATATTTACACAACTATTTAAAAAATATTTTACACGTAAACTTGGATTTTTTGTTGGAAATTTAAGAAATAGGTATTTGTGTCGTTATAAGAWTCAGGAGTGTTTCATATTCTAATATAATGCAATCTTATTTTTACTAGGTCAAGTAGATCGCAATTGAACAGACTTGGATTGAAATTGGCAACCATCGACTTTTTTTAGTCATGTAGTACTATTCTCTTCTATATTTAAGCACATATCCTAATTCTATGCCTAATTGAATATCTAGTATCACTCTTTAGTTACATCCGATTTGAAAAGTATGTATCTGCATGCGAATAAACTGCCAACATTTTGAAACAACTCCTTTTATCCAATTTCTTCATGCAAGGCCAACTGTCTTTGTAGTTTCCTGCATCATTTCGRTAKAATATTTTCTTTGTTTCTGGCATATTTTGATACAATTTTTTCGATAGTAAGTTGGAATTTCGCGTATTGTGGTCCCACACAAGCTGTATTTATCTTTGGCCTTGTTTGTTTTTACCTAAAAAACACTTAATACCCTCTTATGTCTGAATCG